TTTTTTGAACAAATATAATAAAAATACTCTTGTTATAGTGAATTGGCCAATCAAATCTCTTAAAATCTTTACTATAGTCTTATAGTGAAGTTAAGGTCTAGGATATAAAGTTCGTTATAACAAGAGTTAACTGTATATATTTCTATTAATATTTGTATATAATTTGTAATATTTATTAAAAAATATTTAAATTAGGTTATCAAATTAATACTGATGAAAAATTTAATTAAAAACTTTTGAAATACTTTGTTTTTGACTAACAGATACTAATATAAAAAATGTAATTAAATGTGATTTTCTTTAAGTATCTAAGCTTGTTAATACATTAGTTATAAAAAGAAGACCTAAATCTATAATGTATTATTTTAATAAAAATGATTTGCCAAGTACATATAATGATGATAATATTATTTTTAATGGTATTAATGATAAAAATAATCAAAATAAAATTCAAGATAAGGAGTTAAAATTATCAGCAGCTTTATTTACAATAAGTAAAAAAAATTTAATATTTGATGATTTACAAAAAACTGATATATCCTAATTGTAAAGTTCAACTAATGACTTTAAAAAGAAACTTTTATATAATAATTATCATAGTATAAGCTTATATTTATTTTACTATTTTATTTTTATATTTATACTTATAATATATATGTTTATTAGATATAAATTTTACTAGTTATATATTATTGAATAATGAATTAAATTTACAAGTAATGATTGATAAAAGAAGATTATATAAAGCTTTTATACATAGAGTTTTATAATGACAAAGATTTTATTAAACAAATATTAAAAAAAAATAGAAAATATCACTTTAATTCAATCAAATATTGCAAATAATATATATACTTGTTTGATTAATAATAATAAAATAATTATTCAAATGCATAAATAATAAAAAAAGACAAAATTGTTAAACAAATCATTCAGAAATATGTAATCAAATAAAAAATTTATAAAATGTTTAGGTATTTATTTATTATATTATTAATTTAATTATACTTTATTAATAATAAATTTTTTTTTTATATTAGAACAATTGGAAATTGCAAATGTAACTTTTTGTATTTGTTATTGTTATTTTTGGTGCTCAATTACATGTAGCAAAAATAATTGCAATGTATAAGCCAAAAGATAAATTTCACTCTTATGTAATCCGATTAGTAACAGATATTCAAGAATTATCATACATTTCTTTACAAGTATTTACATATATTCAAGGTCATATTTTGCAGATTTTGTTATAGATGAATTTGATAATAAGTTTTCTCTTTTTTTACATTATAATCCAAAATATATTGTTTATAATATTGGAATAGCAGATGTACAATTAGAAGATAATATTCTTTTTTTTTAAAAGAAATAGCTAAAACTGTATTTTTGAATCTTAATAATATTGAAATTCGTAATATTATAACAAGATTTTAATTATAATAACAGATTCAAATTTTAATAAATTTTATATTATAAACATAATGTTATAGGTTAAAATAGTATTATTTTATTAATTTTAATAGGTTATAAATTAGATTTGTATCGCTATCTTAATAAAAAATTTTTTTTTGATCTATGACCTATCTTATAAGTTTCCGGAATCCTGCTTCGCTCCGGACTAATAATTTTTTTCCTATTATAACTAAACTTTTAATTGTTATTAATCTTTTACCTTATAATTGACAATCAAAAATTAGTATTTATTTTTGTAAAAGTAGCTTTAGGACAATTTATTTTACATTTAAATCGGATTATGAATAATTTCCGGTTTTTGGTTTTTTATTTATTTTTTTTTTTTTAAAAAAAAAAAAATAATTTAGATCAATAAATTTTAATACAGAGAGTCCAAAGTAATCTAAAATGCAAAATTTCTTTCACCCGCCTTACGTTCTATGAAATTAATTTTTGAAAAGATTATACAAAGAAATTATATAAATTACAAGATCAATTATACAAATTATCATATGTTGCATAAAGAAGTTGATAAATCTATAAAAAAAAAAATATAGTAGAATAAATAAAAATAAAAAGATTTAATATTCTAGCAGATAATTTTGTATAAAAAAAGGGAAAGGAAAAAAAAAAAATACAATAAATTAAAAAAAAATATTATCTACAGTAAATCATTAATTAATCGTGGCTCCATCAGAGTACAAATTTCATTAGTAACTGATTCACTTGTAGTACGAACAGTTAATCGATACATCTAAAAATGATGACAGCAATTAATGTTAAGTAGATTTAACAAATATTGTTTGTAAATATAATATAAATAATCTTACTTGTGCATCGACATTTGGTTCTAATCGCATCAAACAACCAGTCATTCCCCCTTGTGCGGTATGTAAAACACTAGCTCCAACTACATTATCAGGATTTGGATCTACACCCTCTAAAACTCCATAACGAAATCCTGAAATCATAATACGTAACCCTTGAAGATTTATTGGGACCTTTGATTGTAAAATAGTTTGTTTCTCTCTTGGTCCCCCACCAATTTGTTTCCATCTTGTAAAAAATTCTTGTCCATTAAGTTCAATAGGTTCCATAAATTTTGTTAATACAATTGGCAATTTAAGTACAAATGTATGAAGAGTTCCAGATATAAATGATATTCGAACATTAGGTGTATCTTTAAAAAAATTTTGACATTCTAAATGAAAAAGTTGTTGAATTTGACCAGATGGTTGTATGAGAGTTGCTGGTTGTTGTGGTGTAGTAATTACGATATTTTTAACGTGTTCTAATGCTGTAGTAAATGATGTGATGGTCGTCTGCGTTTTGTTTTTAAAATAAAGAGCAAGTCGACCAAGATGGCCATGGTATTCTGACTTCATGCCAACTTGAAGCTGAGCGTCTTCAAACATTACACCTTCCATGTTATATAAAAGTTTACCGAACCATATTTCTGATCCAGATGCTATAGAACCTGTAAATAATGACTTAGATGTTGTTGCAAGTCCATTTTGTCCACTTAGATCTAATCCTTCTAGTTCATGTAAGAGATCGAATTCTATATTACTATTATTATTATGGCCATTACTCACGATTTCATTCTTTAATTTACTATCAGTTGAATTAGTTCTAGATCCTAATGTAGAAAATCGAGCATTTTCCCTATCTTTATTAATCTCTTTGCCTCCGATAATCCATGTACGTTTATCCTCTGTATCTGAATGTTTTTGATGTAAACGTGACAAAAGAGCTGATTCGCGTTCAGGAAATGGTGGCATCTCTTCACATACTGTCTGTAAAAGATCATCTGTTGACATAGTTGCTATACTCATATATTCTGCAGCACGTTGTTGAAGTTCTACATCTAAAACATGACGATAATGATTGAATACAGATAAAATCTCTCCTTTTATATCTGGGAAAAGATTAATGAATTTTAAATATGTGGTCAAAAGTAAAGCTCTCGTCTGAAGGGAACACATTCCAAACTTTGATTGAAGAGTGGTAAATTGTTCCATAGGACCAGCACCTGGTATATTTTCGATAAGAATTCCAAATTCACCTAAAATATAACCACCTACTTTAACAAGATTTTCATGACAAGAAGGTGATCTTAAATGAATAAGAACCGTTCTTGCTGCATACTCCTGAAGTTCTTCATTATTTACAACGATCTGTACAACACGATACCAAACTTCTTCGCCTACATGATCTCCAGCAGAACTAATGAGCTGTAAGATAATGTCCACATACCACTGGTTTTCTGTAGCAAATCTCTCTGTTAGAATTGCAATTTTCAACACCATTTCCTCCCGAAGAGCATAATCTGCAATATTTAGATATCGAAGCAATTCAGTCACTATCACTTTTGCATTTTTGACATCACACATACTGTATAAGAGATCCAATCCTCTACGACGAACACTAATATCCTTGTCCCTCAAGGATAATAATATAGTGTCCTGATGTTTTTTGATTGGTTCCAATGAATCAACACAAGCTGCTAAATGAGACATAGTTTCTAATCCCAAATATCGTACATTTGTTTCTTTCGAAGTTATAAAACGTCCCAAAAGTAAAGCGGCTTGATTAACAATTTGTGATTCACAATCTAAATGAATAGCAAGATTGATAGCTTCAAATAATACGGAATTTTGTGCGTTATTGTGCTGCACATTTTTAGGAGCATCTTGCGAGTTATTAAGGATTGTTTGTAATACATCATGCAATTTGTTTCGAACCTTACGATCATCTGGAAGAAGAGTTAGAAATAAAGAAAAAAAAGTGAATAAATTGAAAAATGACATAGTGCAAGGATCTAACATTACCGGAAGCTGGATAATATTGTAATAATCGTAGTAGCTTGACTTGTAACCAAGGTATGGGGACTTTATAATATACATATTCAAGAGGAAAATCTCTCTCAACAATTATCTATAAGAAAATATAGAAAATTAGAGCAACTATATAATATAAAAATCTTTCGAAAAATTATTTCATACCTTTGCTAATCGATCAACCGTTTTGGTATAACAACCTAAATACGATTCTAAATTATCTTGTGCTAAAGCCATTATCAAACTAGTCACACATAATGTAACTCCCTAATAATAAATAAAAATTTTCATAAATATACTATTAAACTACAAATTTTTGTTTTAATATAAACAAATTACCAGATCTGTATCATCCATCAACACAATTATTCTCTCCGCCCAATCCGATGCAGGAATTACATCAGGATGTTTCCTATATAACCGTAATAATGTCAAAGCAGCCTTCTTTTTGACAAAACTTTTTGAATTACTAAGTCACCATGAATAAAAATAAACGTATAGGTGAATAAATCTTTGAATTAAAATAGAAAAGGTATATAAATTTGCATGATCTAAGATAAAGCGAATTTCGAAAGGGAATTAATTATATTAAGAAAAATATTTACGGTGATATTAAAAGTCTATGCACATCAAATGAAAGTGATTCAGCCATTTCTCTACCACCAATATTAGCAATAGCGTGCAAGGCTAGACAATTATATATTTCGTTAAGTTCCTCGAGATCTTTTTTTATTGAATTGATAACTAGACGTGTCAAATCACTATTTTCATGCATTAAAAGGGTTACACCAAGATATCCCTATGAAAAGAATCAATTTAGATAAGATTGCATAATAATATTAAGATTCATTTAGAAATCAATAATACTAACGATTTGTTTCTCACTATATTTATTGCTTGAAATAAGATTTACAGCTTCCATATGACCAAAATCAATATCCCAACCAAGGATATACATATACAAAAGCTTGCATACGTATTTTTTCTTTTGATAACCATTAAGATTCCCGTCTGCAATGTGGAATTAAAATTAAATGAAGTGAATGATTAAATGAAATAATTAAAATATCAAATTGACAATAAACCTTTAAATTTCGCTCGAATATTTGCCATTTCTTTATTAATTCGTTTTTCCTCCAACTCTCTTACTCTGCCTATGTTTTTATCAAAAATAGTAAGTCAATATGTATATATTCTTATATAAAAAAGCTAAAAATGAAAATAATCGTTACAGTTTCTTATATCCGCGATAAACACGGTCAAACCACGCATATTACTCGCCATTGAGTCTAAAATAAAAATTCTTTTTGTTAAAACGTAAAAAAAACGATGAACTTTATCAGATTTATTAATTACCTGTTTATATAAACCAACGTATATAAATGTAAAAATCGTGTTTATAAAGATCTAAATTTACTACTAGATGAACAAATATGCAAGATTGTCGGAAATAATAATAATGGAAAATCCTATAATTACCAAATACTGGAACCAAATATTTGGTAATTGGGTCCGTGTGTAACAATTTTGGATCAATTAAATAATTTTACAATAGAGAAAAGCTTTCCTCTTCTATATGCATTATATTATCTAGTTAGATCGAAAATAAAAAAGAATGTTTCTTACTATTTTTATCTTAGGGTGATTGAACGATCTTTAGGATCAATTTTTTGATCTTATATTTCATTAAATAAACTTTTTTTTAAGTAAATTTTCAGGTTGGATCGCTTCAATTTACATAGATAGGTAAGGTTTTTTTTATTTCATTAATTTTTTTTACTTTTCGGTTCATTTTTCCCATTATTGTCATTTATGTTACGTTGATTCTCAACCTTATCCTAACTTACCAGCATTAATGTTTTTTGTAATATGCATATAAAAATTAAAAATTAATTAATTCAGATTCTGTATATAAATATATATTATTACTCTATAAGAAATTTATACCGTTTAGCACTGCATAAGATATCCCCCTTTTTTTTGAATACCCCACTTTAAAAGACCCGGGTATTTTATACCGAAATGAAAAAATTTTATTTATTATTGAATAAATGCTATGAAATTAATAATTTCACTAAATATTCCAATTTTGAATTACATTACAATTTTCATTACTTTCATAATAATCATTTTCATTTTCACTATCATCATTCTCCAATTCATTTCTATTATCATCATCTGATTCATTTTCATTAATATCCTGTTTTTCTTCTTCAATTCCTTTCCTTGATTAATTATATCTTCTATTTATTAAAATCAAAAATCAAACTATCTTCTGTTTCATCAATTGTATTGGAAATACCACAACATTTAAATAAATGATTGATCATATTAGAATCAATAGCAATTCAACTTTTTTTTACCTAATTAGTAATAAGTGAATAAGATGGTCTTTTAAATTTTCCAGTGATGTATATTTTTTAATAGCTTCATCCATTCAATTATATAATATTGCCATATCTATTTATTAAAAAAAATTAATATTAATTTATTTAAATAATAAAAAAATAAAAATAAAATAAAATACCTTAGCTTTAAAGGATTTATTTAATGATATATCAAGTGGCTGTAAACAAGAAGTTAACCTATTTAGAATAATAACTAAATCAGTATTTTTTCGTTAAATTGACATTTTATAACATTAGTTTTATATGCAATAAAGAATCTAATACTAAAAGAGATTTTGGATTATTGTCTTGTCTTATATATCGTATTCAAACATTTTTCATCTACTAAGACATTTATTTTTATTCATCTAATTTTAAAAATTAACATGAATAATTACTTCATCAGGAAACTCTTCTTGAAGAACATTTATAAGTTTAAAAATAATTACAGATAGTAATTTTGTTCTATCAGCCATACAACTTAAAATAATGATAAAATTTGAACGCTTATATCCAGTTGATAAAATTTAAACAGTTTTAGTACTGCATTATTTAACTGTTATATTATTTAATAAATTAAATAATATTAGTATTTCATCCATATTTCTAATTAAAGATACGCACTTTATTATTTAATATAATTTTCTGAAAACTATTAAATAACTGTTTATTTTTATTAACCAAGTTATGATAGTTCATAAAACGATTAATCTATTTTTATAAAAATTTTGCATCTTTTATATCAGGATATTCTAATTGAAACATTGCATTTTAGTAAAGAGATATGTTTTTATTTAAATTATGTAATAAGAAATAACTTTTAATCAACTTTGAGATTCTTTAAAAGTTTATTTTCAAATAATAGATATTTTAGATAGGTATTTATATTAAATTTTTGAATATGAGAAGTTACTTTTAACAGTTTTTCTTTATTTTTTAAACATTCTTAAAGTTATTTAGACTAAATGTTAAATTTCTCTGCAATTAAACATTTGTTATGACCTTTTTATGATAAGTAATCACTATTAGTTTTTCCTATGCAGACTACAGTCAACTCTTGTTATAATGAACTCTATATTCTAGACCTCAACTTCACTATAAGGTTATAGCGAAGATTTTAAGAAATTTGATTGGCCAATTCACTATAACAAGAATATTTTTATTATATTTGTTTAAAAAATTTGTTATATTAAGAGTTTGTTATATTAAGAGTTGACTGTATTGACATTTTATTTTTCTTGTAATATTAGTATAATGAATCTTGAAATTTTTGTGAACCATATTTTTAAAAATAAAATAAAAAAATATTAATATAATTTTTAAATATATAAATAAATTTTAAAATTGTTTTTAATATCTTTAGAATTAAAATTTAATGAAAAAAATATGAAAAGTAACTTTTAAGTAACATTTTCTTTTAAAGTACATTTTATTTTTCAAATGGATAAAGGCTTATAAAAGTATTTTCTAGTTTTAATAATTGGTAAATCAGTAATAAACGAGTATGACTTTTGATAAAAAAGATAATATATCATTTACTATTATTATATGAAAGAAAACATAAATGATGATGATTAAAAGAATGATATTAATCATAGAAAATTATATATATCTTATATGTCTTCTATAGCATATATTTCTTTTATATAATATATCTTATTTATTTATTTTATTTCATTTATGTTATATATTTATTATATTATATTTATTTTATAGGGTAACATTTTTTGGTGATCCTGTCGCTAGAGCTTCGGACGAGCTGAGTTAATTCACGAGTCAGATAAGCTGAGTTAAGAATAAATTAAGTTGAGTTTATATTTTTTTGACTCGATAATTTGTGAGTCAAGCCAAATTCAAGTTGAGTTAAATATTTAACTCGACTTAATTTAAACTTGACTTGATTCAAGTTAACTCGAGTTGACTTGAACGATAAAAAAAATCGTTCAAGAAGAATGATAACAAATCATTCGACTTGAACAATAAAAAAATCGTTCAAGTCGAACGATAACAAATCGTTCGATTTGAACAATAAAAAAATCATTCGACTTTAATGATAAAAAAATCATTCAAGTCGAACGATAACAAATCGTTTGATTTGAACAATAAAAAAATTGTTCAAGAAGAATGATAACAAATCATTTGATTTGAATGATAAAAAAATTGTTCAAGTCGAATAATAACAAATCGTTCAACTTGAATGATAAAAAAATCGTTCAAGTCAAACGATAACAAATCATTTAACTTGAACGATAAAAAAATCGTTAAAAAGAACGATAACAAATCATTTGACTTGAATGATAAAAAAATCATTCAAGAAGAACGATAACAAATCGTTCAACTTGAACGATAAATAAATCGTTTAAGAAGAACGATAACAAATCATTCAACTTGAACGATAAAAAAATCGTTCAAGTCGAACGATAACAAATTGTTTGACTTGAACGATAACAAATCGTTCAACTTGAACGATAATAAATCGTTCAACTTGAACGATAACAAATCGTTCAACTTGAACGATAATAAATTGTTCAACTTGAACGATAACAAATCATTCAACTTGAACGATAACAAATCATTCAACTTGAACGATAACAAATTGTTCGACTTGAACGATAAATAAATTGTTCAAGAAGAATGATAACAAATCGTTCAACTTGAACGATAAATAAATTGTTCAAGAGGAACAATAACAAATCGTTCGCTCTCCTTCTTTCCCTTCCTGATCTTTTTATTTTTTTTATTATTTTTTTATTTTATTTTTTATTAATTAAATGTTTATAAAAATTTAAAATTGACTCATAGCTTGATTTGAACTTGACTCGATTTAAATAAATTCAAGTCAAAATCGAATTGAGTTAAAATTGAGTCAAGTCAAATTGAGTTGAGTTTAAAATTTATATAACTCGAATTAAATCAAATTGAAAAATTTTATAAAATAAATTTGACTCGACTCAACTTGAAAAAAACGAATTAAATAGAATTGGTCTTTAAACTCGACTTGACTTGATTCATTCAGAATTCTACCTGTTGCCATGGTGACCTAATCACGTGATATAATCACATGATTATTGAACTGAAAACAACAATAGCATTTATAATTTATATAATTTTATTCAATTAAAATAATAAAATTATTTATGGCTTTAAATAAATAATAATTAGAAATCAAGCATATATTAATTGATTAACACAAAAAAATATAAAACTTACCTTTCAACTTCATTTTCTTTATTAGCTCTACAAGTTTTACTATTATGACCTTTCTGCTTACATGATTTGCACTTATATTGGATCTTAATATTAAATTCTTCTATAACACTTTTAATTCTCTTTGTTTTAGGACGGCCTTTTAGTTTTCGTTCAACAAGATTTCGAATATCCATCATAACATCACTATCATTAATGTTAATATCATAATTATCATTAATAATTCTCTGAAATGATCTTTTCTGAATTGATGAAAAAAATTCAAGAAGTTCATGATAATTATCCTCATTGTTATTCTCAATAGCATCTATCATTATCTTTCTTCCT